TTCAATTTTAATGCTACCTTCTCTGGGTGTCATGTCATTTTCTACCACTGAACGTCCCTTGTGCAAATGGTAAAACAAACTCTGCTAATCAACAGCAAAGTTTGTGCAATCATTTTTTTATTATCTTAGCGAATTCTCAAAAAAATACTAATAGTTTCTCTTTCAAAGACATAGAAATAGTTTTGAGTCACCACACCTTGTTTACTCTAACAACATTTTCACCTACCTGAACCGAAAACAATTCAACACAGCTGCCAGGTTTTTGTCCAATGCCTGGAAGACAGTATAATCACATCAGTCCTGATTTAGCCTAGGATCCTTCAAGGGTTCTGTCCCAGCTTTCTTACCTCATAATACCCTATGCCCCAGTGTGTTTACGCTTACTTACTAGGCCAAAGGTCTTGGTCTTATCGTTCTCACGCACATTCACGCTATGATGGATGCGTCGGGGGCAGCTCAGGGTTTAGTATATTGCCCAAGGATAATCTGACACATCCACCCACTGGGAGATCCATCTATCAACCTTCTGAGTGTTGGACAACCTTCAGTATGGCCCATAGGCCTTAAAGTATTGCATAATTACCAAAAGGTTGATTCTGTTCATCTGAACGTAGCATTTTCAGTGCAAGAAACATTTCGTCACTCATCCAAGTGACTTCTTCATTCTCAGCTGACTGAAGATTTCCCCTACCTTATAAAAACATTTGCACGATAACTGAAACTAGCACACTGAATGAACAATGAGCTGTGAGGTCAGTTTCTTGATAATTAATATGCAAATTGTCATGACCACTGATCAAAGGATTTTGATCAATGGCCATGAGTACCATTCGCAGAGAGTTGGGGAATAGCTGCAATCACAGCATTGTAAGATGGCAAAGGATGTGCCCTTAGGGCCCCTCCTAGATTCGGAGATGCTCTTTCCCTTTTCACGTAAATGGCCTCCTTGACTCCGCGCTCAAAACAGCGTTCCTCCCTGTCCAGGATGTGTACATCCTCATCATTGAAAGAGTGTCCACTGGCCTGTAGGTGTAAATAGACTGCAGGAGACATGGTGTTTAGAAAAAATGCATCTCAACTGTTCTGATACTCCTGACACAAGCGGGATCACTAAGGGTTTTCGCTTTGGCAGCAGTTGTCCTTCTCTTCTGGATCTGCTGGAGCTTTCTTTAGGCAACTTCCCAGCTTTGACAAATGTCCAGCTGGGATAACCACGTTTACTCAGGGCCTTTTTGATGCCTGCCTCCCTGGCCGCTGTGTCTGTGGGGATGGTGTTCGCTCTGTGTTGTAGCGTCCTGATGACACCCAGTTTATGCTCCAGTGGATGATAAGAGTCAAACCTGCAGGCAGATGAGACTGAAGAAATGACGAAACGTTTCACTCGCTGAAAACACAACGTCCAGATGAACAGAATCAACCTTTTGGGATTTACTTACCTGGATGATTGAGCATGCATCAAGATATTGCATAATTACATTGATGGCTGTGGAAACACTGTTTATCCTTTTCTATAGAATATTCCAAAGTTTTGTTTGTTTGTTTTTAATGGGCTTATATTATTTCAAAAGGTGTCAGATGTCTGATGAAGACATGTGTTGTTACCTGGCTTGTGTACATATTGTCAGAGCCTTTCTTTATCCTTTGTTGTCTAGACCCTCATTGTTGTGTGTCCCCTTCATCTATGTTTCCTTGAAGATTCCTAGTATTTGGTTTCCTTGCTCCTTCCCACTTAATCTTTGGGGGATTTTTGTATTTTCTTTTTTTTTTGAGAGAGAGAGAGAGAGTCCTACATTAAAGCTTCATTTCGAGTTTATGTTTCAGTCTCCTGAGTCCTTCATTTAGGTCTCCATCCTGTTGTGCTATTTTCAAAGTCAAAGTCAATGTAAACTTTATTGTCATCTCTGCTATATCCAGTGCAGCATACAGACAGACAAGACGACAAAGCTCTGGTTACATCAGGGCAAAAAAGCTAATAAATAGTTATAAAAAGGAGTAAGAAAAATATCCGCTTAAGTCATAGAGGATCAAGAGAAGTTGCGATTAGAATTTACAGTTTACAGTTTGGAGTGGTTTAAAGTGACCAATGTAGCAGCTTGTAAACCTGGAGTTAAAAAAAATTGTCCATAGAGCAGTATTTTGTTTATTTTTATAAAATGTTACCAGATATTATAAAGTAACCACTCAAATGAAAGTGTTAAATATATTAAAGAGTTACATGGTTTTGCTTGTATTTGTATTTAGCTTTCGATCACCTTTTGAGTCTGGAGCTGCCATTTTTCATCATGTGCCATTGAAAGCAAAAGAAATGCTGAAAGGTAGGGCAACCAAGGAAGACCACCATGGTGGATTTCTTCGGTTTCCTCAGTTCTTCCTTGGTCTTCCATGACATTAAAATTAAAGACCTGCTCTTCAGAAACAAGATGTGTCTGTGCCAATACCTAAAATGTGAAGACTCTATGAATAGCAATATAATACCATAAGTACCCTCACAGGTTTGGCCCTCAGAAAGCTGTCAGCATACCTCCTGCCTTTATTATCCCTGCATACTTAGTGGCTTCCACAATCAGCCCATACACGTTTACATGGTACTGACAATGCCCTTTAAGAGAGGTATGACATATGGAATTCATTTAACAAGACATGTGCAGAAAAAACAAAGTTTGAATCATTTCTTCAGTTATTTACCAAATTGCTGTTCAAATATATACAATTCAATATTAAACTTGATATTTTATCTATTATCTCTATTTTTTGGTGAAATTTATTCAGTTTTCAAACATTTTGAGGTTCTGTAGTTGAGAGAAGATTTCCTGTAACAAATGTTCAACTATAAAAGAAAATGAAACGGCCAAAGAAAAACAAAATTAAGACTCAAAAGGGACTCTATACAGTGACAGGCTTATTGTTGAATACTGGGAGCTAGCGTATCGGGAATTCCTGCCAAATTCAACCCTGTTTTCCAGGGAAAAACACATGCAGTAACACATTAGTTTCTGCATGTATGTGCCTGTGTTTCAACTGTAAAAAAAATCGTACTAAATTCTAGATAAAAGGACCTAACGTTTCAGTACAAAGTTCAAAAGTACAAATCTATGTCCCAAAGTGTCTGTGTTTGTGTGGAATTACATTTCCACGCATTATTTCCAATAAACAGCACAGCTTCAAAACTTAAAAACATCAGGATGCTGCAGAAAAATCTTACTTAAAGCAGCATGCAGTAATTTAAACCCCTGTTACACTGCAATGTGACTGTGGGCATAAATAATATTTAAGGCCATACAATTATTTCTGGTTTATATTATCATTTAAAGACTAGCATATTGACTCAGAAACAGTCCTGGAACACTGTAACTGAATTTGATCCTCAAATGCAAGCCACTGTCATGCAAAGAAAGACAAGGTCTAGCAACACTGGCGCCAATGCCAGGCTTGAGTTCATTTAAGAGGGACCGAGGCAAGGAGGAAACCATTGTGTGGTTTGACAAATAAAAAAAATAAAAAGTTAAAGTTAGCTTTCCAAGCTAAAGAAAAAAAGATATGTGACATATAAATGCATGGTTTAAAAGCTTCCATAAAGGTATGCAGGCACCATTAACATGGAATAAAGTATATACACATGTTGGAATGGGTAGTGCCACACAGACAACATTGTTTTTGAGGATTCTACAGCAACAGCAGCACGACTCTATAGTGAATGAAACCGGAGTGCTACTCAGAAACACGTAGTGCATTATGCACTGGAAAGATATAACAAAGTAAACCCACAGCTGCTGAGAAGTTGATAAGAAACAAGGAAGAATGGGAAACATTTTTGCTTTCACAACTACAGCAACTGACCTAATTTTCGTAATCACTTAAAATGTTGTTAAAGAACAGCAATTTGACATAAGTGCAAGTGTGTCTCTGACCGATTCTTATACATTTCTCCCAAACCAACATCTCTCAGATTGAACACTTGATATTTTGTCTTTTTAACATTGTTAATTAAATATGAGCGTATAAATGATTTGCAACCTGTTGTATACTGCCTTCATGTTAATTTTAAGCAAAGCCCAAACTATTTTTTAGCATTTTTTCCCATTCCTACTATGGTAGTGTCTACTGTTCCTGTTTCACTTGCAGTTAAATAACTTTTGGTTATTTCCTGTTGTACTTTGAAAATGTCATTCTACAGTCAATCCTCTGTGTGTATATATAGTCCTTCCCAACCCTTTGTCCATATCCTGTCATCTGTTTTCCCTTTCGTGCGTAGTTTGGGGTTTTCCACCTTTTTGTTACGTAATATTGGATTTGGTTATCAGATTATTTGGTATTCCATTTAGCTTCAGTGTCTGCGTTTGGGTCCTATGTCAATTCAGTTTTATATATATATATATATATATATATACACACACAGCCACTCGGGGGTGATGTTATGGGTACAGGACAAAGGAGAGACATATATGCTGCAACCAAGAGTCACCTCAATACGCTTTACACTGGAGATTAAAGACTTGGGAGAAATCCCAAATAATTAGTAGACACCCTTATGAACAAACAAGGATGAAAAATCCTTTTAAAAGGCATCTGGTGTGACTGATTGTGTGTGAGAGGAAAGAGAACAGAAGATGATATAAAAGATAGACTGATACAACGATAGCAGAGAGAGAGAAAACATAGGCTAAGGCAGGAAGAAGAAAATAATTTAATCACATGCTCCACTTGTAAACACGTGCGGAGTGATAAGAACGTGTGGAGAAGAGTCACTCAGTTCATCACATCAAGTCCCACAGCAGCCAGAACTTATAGTGACACACCTGATCCAGCCCTAACAATAAGCTTTATCAAGGTTTGGTTAAATCACGTCAAAGACTTGGGCAACAAATCTGAAGAAACCGGTTCTATAATTGAAATTAATTACTGCTGATGCAATCTGGCCCAGATAACATTACTTGAGAGTGTACATGTGCTCTACTGGTGAGTGAATGAAAGGAAAGCAATGAAGACAGCACAGACTGAGCTCCAAAGAATTTCACTTTATTTTTAGATTCAGCATGTTCGCTATAAGAAAACCTTGGAATTTACACAGATGATATGTACACAGGTTTAGCTTCAGTGATTTTGTAGTCTTGCATGCGTCAGACCAGTTTTAAATACAAAAAAAACAGATTATGTACATGAATTGTGAATTCTCTCGGCAGTGTAGCATTTAGACATAACTCACTATTTCACTGTTTTCTCCTAACGAGACGACACTTGTGAGACGTTAAATCATGGCGAGCGTAACCAATTAAACCAATAACAGATACTTAGGCACGGCAATGGATTTATCACATACAAAATTACAAAATAAAAATCAGCACCACTGTCTTTTCGTGTATGCATATGAATTCTACATATTGCAGGCTGTTCAGTAAGTATGCAGCAGACTTTCCCATTATTCCAAAACATCCTGTACATTGCCGTTCTATAGAAACACATAAACCTGCCCCCAGGCCTAATAAGAAACATTAAAAAAAAAACCAAAAAAAAAAAACCAGCGGATGGATCAGTTGCTGAGGTAACACAATGTTCACTAATGATGAGAGACATTCATCAAGCAATAGTTACAGAAAGAGACATTTTCACACTTCCAAACAGTGCAAAAAAGATCACGTTCACCTTTGTTAACACCTGCCTCTGAACACTATTCATATATGTCAAGAGGAATCGGTCCCTACATTTATTTCGTCCAGTCCATGCTTGCCCTGAAGAAATCCCTGCTAAAGTAATGGAGATTAGAGTCCTTAAGGTAGGGCCAAGCTAAAGGGCTAGAGGGATCGTGCGCTTCTTTCTCTAATCTTATGTTGCAGTGTCCTCTTTGTGTTCTTTACTCCTCTAACAAAAAGATACTGAACGATAAAGTGGAAATTTCACAAGAAAACTCGTATGTTGTTAGCCCACCGAAGCCTTATCTTTGGTTGAACTTGAGAAACTGTCAGAACAAGGATTACTTCATGGGCAGTACAAACAGGGGCGCAGATTACAACACACAGATTTACTTTCGAGACTTTTAAATAAGGATTTACTAACAACCGCTACACATACAATGTCACAGAGCTGAATTCAGTCAAAATGAAAATCCATACACTGGGTACAGATGGGGGGATTTAAGCTTCCGTCAAATGTCAGAAAATATCACATCTCTTTTGCAAATACCGAGGTGTAAATATGCTTTGCAGAAACACTTCGATGACAAGATGAATGAAAATGCAATGTGCCGTGTCTTTGCAGGGGCGCGAGCGGTGCGGTGATGACATAAGTATATTGCAGAAAGAGATAACAGAGGTCAAGCTGCTGCTCTCCCTTGCTTTCTACAACAACTTACAGAAATACACGCATCGTTAGAGTCCAACACCAGTTCAATTCAGCCTAAATCTGTACCACTTAAAACACCACTGAGGTTTTTTGTCCAATTGGATTTATATCAAAGTATTATTTACTTGAATTACAGCCCTTAGGAAATGAGACACACCTGTTAATACAATATGTGTTACTATGGATATTAGAAATAGAAAAATACACAAGGGATAAGGCCTGCCTTGTGCTAATCTTGAGGACAAAGATGGACAAAGGAGGGTGTGTGAGTGTTTTTTTTCCAACTGGATTTATATGAAAGTGGTTTTTTCCACAAGGTGTGGTGAAAATTTAATTTGCTATTACTGAATATTTTATGACTTGTAGATGCACATATATTAGCAGAGGGTATTACTTGTATCACGTGGTTTAACCTCTTCTCCCCACAGGAGAGAAAATTATCCTCTGTTTATATTCCTTCACCTGTATGAGTCACTATTATCTGAAGATCTCAGTCGAATCCCATGGAAACCACATCAGTAACCGGATAATAATGATTAAAGCCACAAAACATTGTCTATGCGGTGAGATATTCAACACACTATGTGTCCCAGTCCCAGGCGGTCTTCACGAGTGACAAAATCATGAAAATGTATTCTAGTTTGTTTACAAAATTCTATTTTTCCTTTCACTTTTCACACAAAGGACCTCAAATCTGAGAGCAACTGCATTATTTAAAACAACAGAATATGTGCACCAATTTAAAAGACAGAGATGAGGCAACACATTCTTAGCTAAAGTTCTGCACCATTGTTAATATTTGTAACAGTATCTATAGGTAAGGTAAGTTCAGGTATCAAGTTATTCTTATTGTTTAAAGATAAGAAGTTAGAAAGCTACCATCAGATATACCCAAAAAGCTCCTGTCAGGCTACCACAGTGTAATATTATTATTTTACGTATTCTTTTTCAGTTGTTACATTTGATTGTGTTTCAGAATAAAGGATTCTGCACGGCAATACATTTGGTGAATGCATACAGTAGATACTTTAAAAGAGAGCTCACTGACTGCTGCTTGCTTTGCTTGTTAACTAGAGCCCTGCAGGAAAAAGAACAACTACCACATTCCAAATGACACACCAGGAAACATCACCCAGTGATCAACAGTACAGTCATTCATAAAGACTCAAAGTTATCTGCATAAGTAAAATGTTTGACCTGAGATTCTGTGATGGTTTATGCATATTTTACACTCAAGGTCTGATAAACTGGAAGCTTAATTTTTATCTGTGTGATATCTGTTCTCTGGAACATGACGCCATAGCATCAATAGGGGGGGGAATACAGGCTATTCAGAGGAAGCAGAGGTTCTCATGAACACCATTCAAATTCAGACACTGGGGTTATTAACGTGAGGTGAAAAGCAGTAACATGGAAACCAAGAATTTGGCACGCATGCTCGTATCCTGGAATCAAACCAGAAGTGCAAGTCTCTATACTTCCTTTCATGAAGTTTGACCACTGCATCTGAGCAAATTCTCCACAAGTAAGATGGCAGCTCATCGGCATAGAAGCTGTTTAAGTTAACAACAACATAAATTATCCTGTACAGAGAAGTTAACCTACAAGTGAACAAATACATAAATAAAGCTATCCCTCCTCAGTAGTTCTACATGTTCTGCTCCAGTCTCAAATGTTTTTTCACATTAGTTTTTAGCCTTTGGCTCGTTAAGCTAGTAAAGCTAAGGCTCACCAAAAAAGGACAGGTTTGTGATCCGCCACATATTCACCAGACATCACTCTGCTCTAACCACCCTGTCAACTTGTTTCTGTGGTAAAAAGAGAGACCTTGTTAAAACACGAGACTGCCATAGCTGCGCTATCAAAGACTTCTCTGTCAGAAGTAATTTAACTGGTGTCATATCAGCATGCAAATTTAGAAGTGGTTAGGGATGTCGCGTTAGCCCATATTTAGTAGATCGTGTAGTCTTTTGCCAGTAATCTATTTAATGCAAATCCAATCATTAACCTCACTTTAGGTTTTTAATTAAAACTGTGTTTTAAACACAGAGTGTATACACAGTCATTGTAAAATGACAGTACAACCCCTGTGTTGTACTAAGGTTTTGCACATTAGGACAAAATATATTAAATCTGTCCGTCACAGGTCTTAAAATGAGGTAAGCACATCTGGAGATGAACAACAACAGATAACATGATACACCATATCATTATTTATTTAACAAAAAGTAAGCCTTAATGTAGCAGAAGTAAGTCCTTGCTTATTATTCCTAAGCTCCTCTATAAAAACAGATGCTTTGACAGTTTTCTGGTCTGGAGCACTCAGGTATGAACTGGTTCAATGCCAAGGAGACATCACCAAAGTGACAACAACTTTATGCCGCATATAAAGTTTGTTTAGAAGGCTTGCCAGAGGAAACCCTCTGCTTTTAAAAGACCATGGCAGACAGTTTAGGTTTGCAAAGTTACATGTGTGCAACCCACAAGACTTCTTGAATGATGCCCTTTGAACAGATGTGGTCCACTAAAGTGGACCACATTTGGCAAAAAGAAAATACGATAAGATAAGATTAACTCAAACGTCTCATACCTTAAACTGTTAAAAAGCACGGTGGAAGAGGAGTGATGACTTGGGCTTGTTTTGTTTGTATACCAAAGTACTCTAGAGTCAGTTATGTGAGGTCACCTGTCCGACAGCTAAAGCTTGGCCAAAACCGGGTCATGCAACAGTAAGTGAATCTACAACAGAAATCCCAGACCTCAACCTGACTGAAATCCTGTGGCGTGTAAAGAAGAGTGGGCCAGAATTCCAAAGTGCCTCTGCACTCTGGCGTCCTTTTTGTTAAATAACATTGTATTATGTCATGTATTAATATGTCCTTAGGGTTATTTAACCCTGGAGAACCCATGGGGTCAAATTTGACCCCATGGTTTCCCTAGTAAACCAATGGGGTCGGATCTGACCCCATGGGTTCTCCAGGGTTAAGTTTTAGACCTGAAAAGAAGTATACTTTTAAAATTACATCCTGGTATGATCCTGCTAACCATAGAAATGATAGATGATGAACTTCTTTTTAGCCATGGCTGCAAATCATGGTCTGAGAAATAAAGTTAAAAAATGTGTTTATATAAAAATAAAGAAAATTATTCTTCAGATCTCTTGATTAGTTTATGGTTTCAATTTCTGGTTTGTGTTTTGTCTGTTTTTGTCGTGTGTTTTCTCATGTGGCAGTGAACTGAACTCTCAGATCCACCATATGGAACAGATTAGTGCCAAAGTTAAAAGCTTTTAGTCATTTTCCATTTGCTGGAAAACATGAGATTAACATCTTCAGTTGCATGTGGGCAGGTAGTGAGGACAGAGACACACAAATCAAAAATGTACACAGTTAAAACAAGTAAATAAATAGATAAATAATAGAATTTCCCTGAAATAAAGTGTATTAGAAACCACACTAAACAGGATGGCTTAGTGGGAAAATAAGACCCTACCGTGCGTGGGAAGTTTGTAATGGCACCCTGAACCATTTTCGGATCCAGGCACCCATCAGTCAGCCGTTCACAAACAATATTCACATAGAATATAAACAATACGGCAGATCTGTGCTGCTAATTTGACATAACTGGCAAGCATTAACTGGAAACAGCTGGAAGCAAAGTATCAAAAGCTTCAGAAAAGGTAAAATCGAGAATGGCCAAGAGTTTAAAAAAAAAAAAAACACGGTGAAAAAATGCTACAGTACAAAACAAGATATCATGCTTTTGGCAAAAGCCAAGTTCGTATTATCACAGTGGTCAAATGTCAAGTCCCCTGGTGCATGCAGATGTGATTTATGGTCGAAAGGTGTTGAAACTGCACCAGAAAAACAGGCGGAAAGTCCTCTGTCTGCATGATAACAACATTAAATTCATTCCTAGATTACACCGGCTTTCAAAAAGCACTGTCTAAATGCATTACAAAAACAAAACAATTGATGAATCAGGCTTAGCTGCTCAAAACAGGATATCATCCTTGCATGCCTGATGAAGACTGTGTAAAACCATGAAAACAAAAATCAAGAAAAAATTCACTGAGAAAATAAATTTAACAAGTAAGAAGAGCAACTCAAGTGTAAGTACCCAATAAGGTCCCTCAGTACAGGCAGCCTAGTCCTTTCCAGTGAAAGAGTGAGTTATGTGTCTGTCATTTCCTCACTTCCACTTGGTCAGTGCTGACACTCGCAGACTCAGTGACTAGAAAGAAGGACGCACAAACCTTTAATGTCTTAGATTCACCGTCGTGTGTGCCTCTTCTGCAAGTTTTAGCTCAGCACCTTAGAAAACACGCATCCAGGATGACCCCAGTAATAGGAACAGCATAAGAGTGAAAATGTGATGGAAGAGAGGTAAGTGGTAGCTGACATCATATGAAGAGACAGAAGCATTTAGACATCTTGTCTCCTGTTTCAGTCAGGCAAAAGTCAACTCCAAAAGACCCATGGGGCCACTGTGTCCTCGCCCCACTGGGATCTCTGGTCCCTGGTAATGAGGAAGAAGGTTTGGGCTTGGTAGAGAGGTGATCCTGCACGAGTGCAGGTCTGATGCAAAACTGAGGCTCGTGTCAAACAGTCGAGAGCTGCGTGGGCTTAGAAGTGGGGAGATCCAGCAGAGCCTGCACAGTCACACCCACTTTCACTAGGCCACGTTCTTCTAGGATGTGATGTGGCAGACACAGCTTGTCCTGAGTCAACAGAGAGATGTCTTTTTGTTAATTTTTCTCAGAGAAAAATAAAAAAGAAAGGTGGGGTTTTCAGACAGTATTTAACTGTTATAAGCTTTTCTGACAGGCAGATTTGACCAGAGACAAATAGAATATATTTGTCTTTCATTATTTATGACAGCAATTCTTCATTTGGAGAAGGATCAAGGATAAAGGCAAAAACCAGACCAGTGAGTATGCATGATATAACTTGCAGAAACTGTATGGAACTTGTGCTTCAGAGCCCAACGGTGGATATCACCATGGAAGGTAATAAATCTTCAAAGAATATATTGCAAAATAAATACAGGTTAAGTGGTGTTTGAAGTGAAGCGTGTATGAAATGCCTGAATGAAAGTGTTAAATGGTTAATGTTAGTACCTGTGGGACACCCAGCTTCTTACAGGCATCCAAGAAGTTTTCCACGTTTCTCCGGCATTTGGCCATGCTAAGCTTTGGCTGGAAGCCCAAATATCAATCATTTTAGTTCATTAAACTCACAGCAGAACAAAATCCACATAGCTAAGCAGACAAAAATTTTATAACCAATAAATTCATGAGAATTTCTAACTCTTGGCATTAACAATTTAAAAAAAATGACTCATTTTGAAGATGGGGTGTTCTCACCACTGCAGGAGATGGTACATGGATGCTGGCAACAGACCGAGGACAGATATGATTAGCTAAATGGCAAAGGACAACTCCGTCCATTAGAGCTGCTCCAACATCATCCGGAAGCAACACCTTGAGCCTGGACTCAATGTTCTGCAAACACACACACACAAAACGCACTAAGAGTAGAAAAGGTGTTTAATTTATTAACATTGAATCAATTACTCACAGCGGGTTCTCCATCCTCTCGCTTTCATTTCATTCTGTTAGTTTTAATTACTGTATTTAGCCAAACAGCTTCTTTGGACCAAAGGTTCACGAGAGTGTAATCAGTTAATGATCTGAGGTAAGTGCCTGGGTGTGTACCACACGCAGCTTAATGAAAGTTAAGCAACTCTGAGAGATCACATTAAATCCTCCTTTTAATACTTGCTATCTACTAAGCTATATTATTTTTGCTTCCAGTACAGCTGAGCATGTGCGTTCTGATAATCACTCCCTGTTAATCAGATGATCTGCAGAGTGTTATTTATGTCTTTATTAAATATCTCCCACATAACCAATTTGTTTGTTTTTGTATGAATGGGTGGGTTAGTACTGCTGCCAGAGAAGAGAGTTGGACTAAATCCAACAAATACTTCTTGGTATTCTTGGTTTATCTATTTGCTGTGAGTCAGGAGAGACAGAAGAATTAGATACTTGCCTCAGGTGGGAAATCAGAAGGAAAGTTACTGTTTATCATTGCAATATATCCAAAGCAGTTGAAGAAACTGGTAATGTTATTGAAGTCAATTGTCTACCATTGAATGTTTTTGTGCATGCTTTCGAACGTGTTTTTGATTTCCCATGAAGTTCATGAATAAGGCACTGTTCTGCTCCTGTGGTGTGATGCTTTGCTTTCTGTAACTTTTCTGAAGTCCATCTGTTTCCGTTTGACCTTTTGCTTGGACTGGAAAGCATTTCTAACCAGCGATGACAATGATTATGTTTTTAGAAATGAAAGTTCTCTTGGCTGCCCAAACAGTGAACTGCTCTGTCCACAGTCTAATTTCAGCTTTCACCCCAGCACGGACAAGCACACCCTGAAATGTCACTTCAGTCAGAGAAGAAGAAGCCACTTGTATGGGTTGAATCCAGCCGTGGAAACTGTTTCTTTCACTTATACAGGCGTCTCCATTAGGACAAATGACCACCTGGCTTAATTTTCAAATATTAGAATTTAAATACTTCCCTTATAACCAAACACGGAAGCTCATACCCAACACCAACATGTAAATCCAAGGGAAATAATAAAATAAAGACAGGCTGTGTACTCTGTACTAGACTGTTAGGTAAGATCACAAACCCTTGCCAGAAAACAGGAATCTAACCGCATTACAAAGCAACTCTGGACAAGATTCAAGAAGAAAACCTGAATTATTTATTGACCCATAACCTGGAGCTGATTGTCTCAGACTCCAAAACCGCCTACAAACACACATTTCAACCACCCTGAAGGAGTAAACGGCACTTTGACAAAGACACTTCTGGTGAATCAAACACACTACTTGTTTATTGATACATTTCAGGTCAATCAGAAATTAATTAAAAGTACATTTCTGATTAGACTCTATGTGTTTATTATAATTTTCCCAGTAGTTTAGATCTATATGTGTAAATTGTGTATGAGCTTCTATCAATTAGGTGGAAGGTGTGACACTGCTCTATAAAATTATCCAAAGCTCTTCCATGTGTGGAAAAATGCCATCACTCCTGCTTAACAGACCACTGCCTGAGTTCAGAAGGCTCTCGCCTCAGATTAATCAGCCCTTCCTTACCATGGCTACATTGCTACAGCAAAAACACTTCCAGTAACCTTCAGCTGTTATCAAAAAATTCCACCCACTGCAAAAATCCCAGTCAATTTTAAAATACCAACCAAGTTAGTAATTGCTGTCAGGTGGCTGTCTTCTTCTCTGTTTAATGTTCCCACTTATTCAAGTCATTTCATCTGCCTTCAATTTTTTTTTCTCATCATCTGATCATTAATGAACAGATCAAATGTATCGTAGCTCGCTTCCTGAGACCACTTTGCTTCCGCAACTTTTCTTGGAAACGAGGCGAGAATCCTCTCGCTGACAACATCTTTAAAAAGAGGTTCACCTCAATGCTATGATGGCCTAACACCCAGTAGAGCCAGGCACGGGAACACTCCGAGTCTAAGGAGTGCTGTTTTTCTCAAAGTAATGTCTGTTCTTTTTCCATAACGGAAAGTGTCACCTACGCCTACTTTGTTTTCCTTTTGTTAAGGACTTTCATCTCAGTTTTGGAACACCCTTTTACATTGTGCCCTTGTTTATTTTTTTTTCTCCTTTTGTAAAGATGTTTTGGCAGGTTTGACAAAGAGTTCTTTTGTCTCGGGCAAACCTTATTTTGCAAAATGGTATGTAAACGTCAGGTATTGTATAAAACATCTGTCAGTGTGTGATGCTATCACAAGTATGCTGTGCACGCCTTGAATTTATAGCGCTTCTTTTACCGGCCTGTATTTCTGTGACAAGTGATGACAGGTTGTTTTCTTCCCCACTGTCATCTCATCACCTCATGAACCTGGCCTGATTAAGAAAATGAAAGCATTATTTTTCTTTAGCCTCTCCTGTAGAGACTTTGCATCTCTAATGCTTTTCATTAGAATTAAGACTAGCCAGTCATTTTGATGTGTTTTGCTCTCTTCTAATGTTTATTATCATGCCAACGACACTGTGCATGCTTCGCATATTTTAGGTGTGTCTGACATTCTCCAACATGCTGACTGTTGGTTACACCTCTGGTTCTGTACAGATGGTTTGCAAGCAAATACGTTACTTCACTTTAGCACCATGGGACGCAGCAGGTTGCACGGGCATGTGTGCAACTACTAAACCACAATGTTAACCTGATCATTCGCTTTCCCCTGATACTTTCTTTGTCCCTTTCTTGCAGGGCTGCTTGAAAATGGCAAAAGTAAATAGGCAAACACATGCCACAGCTTGGCATTGAATGCCTCGTTAGCTGCAAGGATTCTCTAAGCTACATGTGAGTTGTACCTCTTGGGGTTTGTGCAGAATCTCTGATCATTGCTCAGTGTGACTTTGGGACCTTGTCCCATCATGTGTTAGAATGCCCGAATACTCCAGGCGAGAAGAATGCCAAAACGTTGACTTTCATTGAGGTGCTCACATTTGGTGATGATGAATTAATCAAGTGCATTTGGTTAGCAGAACCCAGCTGCACACCTTCTTAATTGAGGTGTGCAGAACGGTAAGAGTGTACTTACAAAGCCAGTTCGGAAAAATTGGAGATACTGTATAAAACGTAAATCAAAAGATAATGCAATGATTTGCAGATCTCATAAACCTGTATTTTGTTCACAATGGAAGAAAAATATCAAACATTTAAATTGAGGCCCTTTACTATTTTATGAAAGATATTTTTTATTGAAGATTTAGAGCAGGGGTCCCCAACTCCAGGCCGGTGTCCTGCAGGTTTTAGATCTCACCCTGGGTTAACACACCTGAATCACATGATTAGTTCATTACCAGGCCTCTGGAGAACTTCAAGACATGTTGAGGAGGTAATTTAGCCATTTGAATCAGCTGTGTTGGATCACGGACACATTTGAAAACTGCAGGACATCAGCCCTCGAGGCCTGGAGTTGGGGACCCCTGATTTAGAGAATCTGGAGACATTTTTTTGCGCAGGCCAAAAGTCTGTACTGGATGTTGTTGATCTACATGCCCTCTGGTGGCACTCCATTTAAAACAGGCATGATTCTCTCATGGAAATCACTGAAGGGGCTCACGAATGCTTTCTAAAATTAACATCTGTGAACACAGCTTGCCATGCCACATCCACAAAAGCAGGTTAAAGCTCTATTATGCAAAGAACCAAAGCTCATTGGTTGAGGCAAAGTGGAGTAAATGTTCCGTGGTCGCACAAATCAACATTAGAAATTCTTTTCGGAAAACATGGATGCCACATTTTGTGGTTGAAACAGGAGAGGGATGATGTGGGATTTTATTAGTGTTCAGTTAAGAAAACCTCCATCTCTGATGACAGCATACACTTTTGGAAAGGCACCATCAGTGCTGAAAGATATACAGGCTTCAGAGCAACATACGCTCACTTCCAGATAACATATTTTTCTTTGTTTTTAACTTGCATATTTCAACAAGACAGTGCCAAATCACATACTGCATCTACTACAGTCTGGGTGCTGAGTTGGCCTGCCTGGAGTCCAGCATTTGATGACCCAGGACTGTTGAGCATCTTGAGTCCACTATTAGATAAGAACAGGAAAACATTCCCCTCCCAAAAGTCCTGCTGTTAAAAAAAGAAGAGCGGATGCTGCACAATGACAAACATGGCTCTGTCCCAACTTTGTTGACATGTGTTGCTCCCATTTAATTCAAAATGACCATTTTTTCTTCTTAAAATGATGTCGTGTCGCAGTTTAAACATTGTTTAACTGTCGTTTTCTGTGTTCTGTTGTGAATAAAATATGGATTTATGAGTTTTGCAAATCACTGCATTCTGTTTTTATTTAAATTTCACACATCCTCCCAACTATGTTGGAATTAGTAGGTTGTAGGTCCAGCTAGGCATGCCCAGCCCACCCTGATTCCTAAATTATTTTTATAAGCAAAAACAAAAGTGTTTCAGCCCTCCACACCCATCCCTCCGTCGCTATAGCCCCAGCATAAATAGATGAGTCAATTTAGACTCAGCGTGTTTCTTAATTCCTTGGAAACCAAGTGAAGTCATGATGAATCTGTATTCCTAAGCAGGAAGGCTGGATAAGAAGCAATTGTCTAGCTCGAAGGCGTAAACACTGAAACAAAAGCAGGATCTATTGAGCTTTGGCCTCTGTATGACTCCATGACTCGTACAAACGCAAAGGCATAAATAAGCTGCAAGGCATCTGACCTGTCGTAACAGTCCTATCTGCTCCATTTCCTCTCTCAAGTGCTCCATCTTCCTTCTCATCGTGAAGCTCGGGTCTGTAGAGCTGATCTCCTGATGGCTTCCTCTGGTGAAGGCTAAAATTACAGATGGGGGTACCAATCCAAAGAACACACAAAGGAAATAAGAAGAACAGAAGAAAAAAAAGTATTTAGTACATCACAGTCGCTCAGTTCAATTTCAGGCCACCTGCTCGTTTTCAGTCTGACAATAGAAATGCAGAGTTAATGTGAAAGTCTATCAAATAATATGAGCTCTTACTGTATAAGACCAAATCCCAACAATGTCCAAGGCACCAATCTGTGCTGTGTGTTACCTGGAATTAGGTGTGGCTGTGATACAATCTAAATCTGTATTTACAGTAGGAAGCGTACAGTGTGCTTGTGCATGTCTTCCTTTATTTCAAGTTATCTCCATTCCTTTGGGTTTACGAGACACAGTCTGGCTGATTTAGTTTCATTTCCTAGTCAGTGAAGGTCTTCTTTACTTTTATCAAAGAGTCTCTGCAGGTTCTCAGTCATCCAAGATGTTGTTGTTGTAATCTAAGGAGCGTGGGAAGAAAGCAAGGCGAGAGGTGAAACGTCTTCAAGAAACTTAAAGACGTCCATTCGCTTTCTTTCCAACCTCCTTAGACTTTTATAAAAGAGCTTTTATAAAAATCGGAGCCAATTCAAAGAATATCACCGTATGCCAGGTAACATATAACAGGTAAATTTAAAAGAAAATTAAAAAACACTCCAAATAAGGCAGACAGAATTTTTTGCATTTAAATACAAAATGCAGTTTTTATATGATTTTGTAAATTAATGAAAACAAAGCTATCCAAAGCTACCTGGCGCCCTTGTTAAATCATGAATTTACTGCGACTGCTCAAATTTTTTACAAAGCTAATTTCAGTGGAGAAAACTTGGAACAGTGGTGAAGTTTTCAGCGTTATTTTGTTATCGTTTTTATCGTTAACTCTGTTTTCCTGGGTCTTTTCACGTGTGTTATGAATAAATTTCCTTTTTTTCGGTACCGGTACTAGTTTTATTTTGTTGTATTTATCCGCGACACCTTAAAGGCCGGTCCATGAAAATATTGTCGGGCATAAACCGGTCCGTGGCGCAAAAAAGGTTGGAGACCGCTGCTCTAAAACATTTAACTGTGACAAATATGTCAAAATACTTTTTCATGATACTCTGATCGGTGTTAAAGCTTGTATTTTGTTATTAGTTAATTTGCAAACCATATATAGGCTAAAAAAAAGTATAACACTTTATGGATTAAACTACCGAAAATGCCTGCATATTTTAAATGAAATGATTTTAAATGAAACAGCCAACATGTGACTAAAGTGCAGACTTTCAGCTTTATCAAAAATGTTACATCAACTATTTAGGAAGTAGAGATATTTGATATTATGACATATTCCAGTTTTCAGAAGCTCAAAATGGACTGGACGATAGTCTGTTCATTGCCAAAAGAGGCCTCTTCCCTCGCTACACCATGACAAATTATGTAAATAAAACAATAGAAGAGTTTTGTCTTGGGGCCACTTTCATTCCCAGCCTCACAGAAGCTGTGTTAATAATCCAGCAACAAATTCTAATAATCCAGACCTGATTAAAATCAAGGCATGAATAAGAACTTCCATTTCACAGCGTGACACAGTAGGACTCAACCTGGTAATAATTAAGTGATTTAGGGAAGAGCAAACATCAAAAGTTAACACTTAGCAAATGTGGCAAGCGACCAAGAGTTTCAATTATCTTAGGTAAAAATCTCCCAGGGTCACATACGAAAAGTCGTTTTCTCCTCTTCAATTTGAGAAGAACTGTCAGCCGACCAACCTTTAACAGAGTCTAAGCAACTATGCAAGATCTGTCGCTCAGAAACATCCTGGGGCTTAAAAGAGATAAATAACGTCTTTGAACGTTGTCAAAATGTGCTAAAGACGCAGGAGGTACAGCAACAGTAAAGCCTCCAAGACAGAACCTTGTAGTACACCATAATCAAGAAAAGTCGAAGACGACCTGAAGTTAAAAGCAGCCGAAAAGAAAGGAAAAGATCAGACAGATACGAGGCAGAAACCGCCCCAAGGCAGAACCTGAGACACACACTGAGTATCTCATTCAAGTAAAATGTGACGGTCAGAGGTCAAGCAACACCAGCAAAGCATTCTGCTTCAGCACTGTGCATCAAAGCTCATTGGAGACTTTTGTCCAAAACAGTTGTGAGCAGCTTAGCCATAACCTTTAAGCCTTTTAAATTTTTTAAAGACCTTTGCACAAGGCATTAGTACAACTTGGGCTTTCATGGTCACTTCTAACGTATTCCTTCGATGCACTTTATTTTGTAAAAATTTAGGCTCTTTATTTTTTATTAGAATTCCAATAACTTTCTTAATTTTACTGATCAGTGTAAACCGCTGCGATTATTTTTGCTGTGCACTGGATAATAATAAAACTTCTTCTTCAATATGAGGCCCAAAGAGACACTGATGCAACTGAAGGAGACAAACAAAAGGTCGTTCTTAAAAAGAAAGACTCGTTAAGCCAGTTGAATTAAAGATGAAAGTCTGCACTTCAATCACATCTTGATCGTGTGACTTAAAATCGCCAGTGTACAGATGCAAGGTTACAAAAATTGCGAACAGATTGTGGACATGCATTACAAAACGCTCAGCTGGCACTGCAGTCTACGCAAGACAAGGATTAGCTCTTTGAGATTTATAGTCAGAGAGAACATGCAGTCAGGAGGTTGTCACATTAATCCTTATTGAAAACTGGCAGACGAGATTTTTCCCCCGACACTGTTTGTTTGTTTTTTTTGCTTTTGTTTTTTTTCAGTAGGTTAATTCACGATTTATTATCCTCCTGTCAAAGTAAAACAAGTTTTATTTGTACATCCAGGAAGATTTTATGACTGTATCCAAAAGCTGGTTATGGGTATGCAGACCAGCAGTTCTTTAGAAACCCCTCCCTAATTCTCGTGAAAGAATGATGAGACTCCACCTTAAAAAAAAGTGACTCAGTGTGAAAACAAGGCATTCTTAACATTGTCATTTCAACACATATAGGCATCGACGATGTTTTCCGCGGTAACACATCCTTTAGACAGAGTTGCTTATTTTACCTATGATGTCTTTAGAAGGCTTTTTTAGTAAGTAAACACTATTGTTTTGTTTTTTGCTCAATGAAATTGGAACATATGAGAGAGATCTTTTTTCATATCCACACAACATGTAAAATGTAACGTACTTATATCATTTCAGCGGTTTGTTTTTTATTATCTTTTCAAATCGACGGGAAGGATGGGTTCTAACCGTCTGACTGACTTTATTTTTGTTACTATTTTTATGCCCAAGAAAACCCCGAGACAATCATTCCAGTGAAAAGGAAAAGCACTGAGCCAAACGATTCAGACAGTGTCATTTAAAGAACAAGGACATATGTGTTACCTGATCTTGGCTTAAGTCCAAACACTGTCAGGGTAGTGCTGAAATCAGTGTTGCGCAAACCCTCCTGAGGATAAAACATTCACATCCAATTCAGAATGGGACGCAGCATTAACACTTACACGATCTTTTAAGATAACATTTTCATACCCACCTCAGAGTCAGCGTTGCCACTCGAGTTTTTGCGAGCACTTTGGCATTTGTACTGTCAACAAAAGAGATAATTAGATCTTTGTTTCATGCTAATTGTTCATCTCCTGTTCTATTTATGGAAGCAAACCTGGTGCTACATGTTTGTTATTCATTTATCTAAACAGTGACACGCTTATTAAAAGAGTGATCGGCACATGTTTATACATTAAGTGGCTAGTGTGCCTCTAAATCGCACAAAAATAATGGGGCGAGTATCTTGCCCGTAGATACTGTGCTATGCAGACTGAAGGCTGGAAAAGCCAAGGATCAAACCGCCAACATGGCCATTAGTAGATGACCTGCACTACTATGCCGTTATTTTTGTCCCTCTATTCTAAATGCACGCAAAAAAAATTTAAATTGCAAGTGGAAATGTTGCATTTTGGGGAGAAAATTATTTTAAGTGAAGAAAAGTTTAATTTAAGCCAACAAAATCCATTGCTGCATACAAGAAATGTATTTCAGTGTTTGTGGCACACTTATAAGGGTGTACAGAAAGAGGCGAGCGCGCAGGGTGCAGAAATGTTGAGAGCAGGTCCGCAGATGTCTGTTAGCAGACAGAGTAGAGATCTGAGCAAGAACAAATCCCAACAACTGAGTGAGAGGGGCTTTTATTGTGTGTGCATATGGATAATAGCAAACACTGAAATACATTTCTTGCAGGCAGCAATGGATTTTGTTGGCTCAAATTAAACTTTTCTTCTCTTAAAATAATTTTCACTCAAAATAGAAGCCTTTGACTTCTGTGTTCACAATCAGTGCGACTCTAATCATTCTGATAAAGTCATGCATTATTGTACATTTGGAGATGGCTATCACAGAAAATCAGATAGAGCATGCAATTCTGTCTGATAGCACAATGTATTCTGCAAGTTAGGGCTGTGCCATATGACCAAAATCTCATATCCCGATATAAGAATTCTATCGTCCGATAACGATATAAATCACAAAAATGTAACATTTTCTGTAAATTCTGTGAATCTCGGGCAGCTCGACTTGCGGGAAGTGTTTCCAGCTGCGCGTCATGTAGCTGGAGTCGAGTGTTTTAACCGATGCATGAAACTATACATTTTTAGACATAAGTTGTAACAGCCGCCTTTTTCATTGTGAGTATTTATTACACGGCGTGCTGCGGGGAAAAGCCTGTACTAACGTTTGAGTCTAAGGTTTATTTTTTAGCACCTGGCGGCTCTTTTT